ACGACAGGCCAGGTACTCTTCACGAACAGCATCAAACCATGGAGGCTTCCCAAACGTCCCCTGGCCTGCCTGCCAGCCAGACGGGACATCCATGAAATCATCTTAGACAGACAAGAAGAAGACAAGTACAATGCATTAACTGTACTGCCGGTAGACTTCAAATCTGGTTCAAAGCAAAATGACAGGGTGCATGGTTGTATCTGAATCTTGTAAGTGAAAAAGTTGTGAGAATGTTTCAGCTGCCAGCGACTGACCAGACTCAGGCTTGGAGAACCAGTTGGCCCTCTCATACCCCATCTTGACCCCAAACACAGCCCCGGCCTTCTCCAGGGTGGTGTACAGGGGTGACATGCGCATCTTTCTGGCAGACTGGAATTCTGGCTTGGGGTACGGCTGTGCATACGGCATTGCTGAAACACGAAAGGAATCATTGTATTAATCTAAAAAGTGCAATTTCTTATTTCACAATACCTAGGACTCAAAATGTAACGAGAGAAGATGGTACTGTTGTATTTGAAATAAATATATGACTAACAATGATGTTAATGATTGATGTTAATGAATGATAACAAAAATGCACTCTGATCTTGGTTGGTTATCGGTGAGAAATAGATTTGATGTCAGTACTCTTAAGTTATTTTTCAAGATTGTAACCACAAGTGAGCCACAGGAGATCTATAAATCTCTGGTACCGGTTCATGCGTCTCACAGGTATTCCACTAGGCAATCAGTGCACGACTACTCATTGCTCAAACCTAACAACAATAGTGGAAAGAGGATGTTTGTTTACAGATCTGTAAAGTTGTGGAACGCATTACCGAGTGAAGTTAAGACTACTGTATTAACAGCTGATGAGAGGCAGTTCAGGAAAATGACACGTCAGCTTTATGGAACTTAAAGGCTTACCCTGACAATATTGTATATATTCGAAGCAATTTAGTAACTCACAAGTTTTATTGTTGATTTTAGTCATAATTAGTTAAATGACCTCTGGCCTCAACCTCAATTATTTTAATGTGTAATTGCAATGATTGTATGTATTCAGTGCTTGTATTTTATGTGTTGTACTGTTAATGAGCCCTGGAAGATTAGCCCCTCATGGGGCTAAAGGGCATCTCAATAAATCAAATAAATCAAACAATGTCACAGGCTTAAGGATTTTTCTAAGACAAGACTCACGTAATATCTCCTTGACCCTTTCCCTAAGGTATCTCCTGTTGTTGTGCATCTCTCCAAACCTGCGGATGTCGACCGGCCAGGTGCCAGCAGGAGGGTCCCCTGAGATGATCCATTCAGCCATGACCTTCCCCACACCACCTGCACTGGCGATTCCTCCTGAGTTCATCCCGGCAGCTACGAAGTAGCCTGGCACCTGGAATAAAATTTTTGTTACATCTGTTTTTTTCCTGACATTAGTTTTCATGCTTCATGGCTTCATTGCTTTTATTGCGGATAAGCTTAAAAGAATTGTGGGGAAGTTTGAGAAACATGTAAGGAGCCTGCCCCTTGTTAGGGAACAGGTCAGGTCAGATGAAGATATCTATGAACTATGACCTACCTCAGGAGCCTGTCCCATGTTGGGGAATAAGTCAGGGGTGAAGCTCTCTGGTCCATTCAGGAACTTTTTCACCTTGACCTCCTTGAGTGCTGGCATGCGGAGTAGAATCTGCTCCAAAACTGGCTCTGTGGAAGGAAATGTACAACAAGGAAAAGTCACTGTTACTATTCTAAGTAAAAACTGAAAGAGGTGGGGGTGATTAGGAATATTTTGACCTGCCACTTATGAATCTCATCAACTAATGGATATGGTGCGCACATTTAATTAACCAGAACTTATCTTATATCACAATATAACAGAGGTACTCACGGAAATGATCCCAGTCTTCCTCCAGCAGTTGGAACTCAAATGGGGAAGGAATACCGTCAGTGAAGACAGGTTTAGGTTTGGGCTCAAATCCACCACAGATAAAGCCACCATTCCACTCCCGCAGGTAGTTATAGCCATCTGGATCTTGTGCAACTATAAGGACAATGATGCAACTATAAGGGCAATGATGAGAGGACTTCTAGTAAGGATCACAAATTTATGGTAATATAAGTATGGAATGTAACCAAATTCTCAACTATTTCTCTAAGGGTAAGACACTACCTGGTGTTGTGATGTTTGCTCCTGCCACTGGGTCGGTTATAATGTAGAAGTGTTCACAGGAGTGCAGTGGGACCCGCACACTAGGACTGGACTGTTGTCCCAACTCCCAAGCCCACTGAAATAGACATACGTAATTCATTACTACGTGAACCTTAATTCCTCACATTCTAAGATTATACAACGTTCTCGCAATCAAGCGGTTACTAGTACTATGTCCTTTGAATGTGGAAAATATGTTTTTTATGTGTTGTAATGTAACTACCATACATATACACCTACCTGCCCAGTGCAGTTGACAAAGTTGTCACATCTGATGTCTCCCTTGTTTGTTCTGACACCGCTCACTCGACCATCTGATGTCAAAACTTTCTCCACACCAACTTTCTCGTGGATCTGAACACCTGGGGGAAAGGGTGGTTTAGCGGTTTAGACGCAAGGAATAACTGAGATAGGCTGGGTATGGTCCACCTGTGTAACCACGTATGTTAAAAAGCAATGCTGGAAGAACACAATTTATTCTATCAAGGGCTCACTGGAAAGAGGATCATCTGGAAAGTATGTTACTGATTATAGAACGGTCATATCCTTTCTGTCCTGAAATATATCAATGAAGGATACTTATAAATCATAGTATTTAAGCAAATTATTATAGATATCAATTGGGTAAGGAGTCAGACTAATATCTCTTACTTTCTTCTGCCCTCTATGCATAGTCTCATGAGGATTTCAAGAAAAGAAGACTGAAGGGTTTGACTTTGTTCCTTGTTGAAACCAAAGTCCAGGCAAGTACTTTTTTGTAACAGTTTCATGATGGAGCTGTTACTTGCCCGGACTTTGGTTTGACCATGTCTCCCACTAACCTTTCATTGTCGCCCCCTTAGCCAGAGCTTGTGTGACATCAGCTGCAGTAGCCACCCCGTCTCCTGGTACCCACAATGCACCCTTCAGGTCATCCACTCTCAGTAAGGGGTGATAAACACTCACATCTCTGGGACTGACCAGATCACACTCCACTCCCATCGCCCTGGAACACCAGTTACATTTTCCAACCATTTTCTTACAGTTCTGTAACAGAATTTGTCATTACCAGATTTATGATGATGGCTGATAAATGACTGTACTTCTAAGACACATTTGGGTGCTTAACACATTGGAATTGATGACTATTAAGTGAACCTACCTTATTGCATCTGCATGTCTTCTGTATGCGGTCATTCTGTCCTCTGTACGAGCTACATATATAGAACCAGTCTGTTGCCAGCCTTGAAAAAAAAACATTTTATCAAATTATAAGACCTTTCATCTGAGGTATCTACAAACATGCCAGCATTATTCTTCAGTAGTAATATTCTTCTTATGCTAATACCTACAATTTTCATCTTTTTAAAGAATGATGACAGCCTCCTATACATCAAATATTTATTCCAACAAAACTTAAAATCAAAGCAATCATAACGGAAAGAGCATGATTTGGGGAACGTATGAGACTAGTAAATATCTATAATGATAAACCGGACAGTGAGTGAGTGAGTGAGTGAGTGATATTCATAGTGTTCATGAAATATTTCTTACCTGTGTTAACATTGGTCTCGGCCTCTAATGTTGGATACAGCTGTTTGCTGTACTCAAACATCTCTCGCAGGATCCCCTCTACCAGCATGGCACAGCAGCCGGCAGCATGCCATGTTGTACCACAGCTTAGTCTGGGCAGGAAAAAACGGTGGACGGACATGGACATAATCTTGAAAGTGTTTTACTGATGCAGCTTGCTGGGCCTAGATATGATTGAACTGCCTTAATTTTACCAAAGTTGCATTTGAATTCATAACAATATACTTATACTGGAAAAGCAATATGTATAGTTAACATTAGTAAACTTACTGGTAACATATACTACTTAAATATTGATTGCTATCTGTTTAAGTTAACGTTAGCTATATTAGAACCAATAGTAATCCATTCATAATTCAGCTGACGTTGCAATAAGCATTGCATATAAATCAAGGGTACTTTACAGTATTATAATGAATAGGTGATAGCATGTTTATTATGTTCAAACCAATAAGCTATAATTTACACACCTTGGCAAAGAAACACTATAATCATACTTTGCGCATATTTGCCATACCTTCCCTGCTCCAATAGCACCACATCTGTCCAGCCGAACTTAGCCAGGTGATAAGCCACAGAACAGCCGATAGCCCCTCCCCCTGCGATCACCACTTGTGCCTGGGGTGGCAGCGGCTTCTGCGCCGGCACTTCCTCCTGTGTCGCGTGGAGCTGGCGCCTGTCCACGCCGGAACTCACCCATCTCACGTCAGGGTTTGTGTTTTTGTGGCAGAGCTGAGGTGACTTTGTTTGGGAACTGCGAGGCCACCGTCCTCCTCTGGTCCTTCCCCGGACACAGTTCGCCCAAACAGCGCGATGTGACAGCATTGGTATCTGGCAACTGTGCGAGTATACACCATCAAGATCGTACTATTTTGAAGGGTTCAAACATACTTTGGCATGCAAGGTTGACCATGAAAACACCGTAACTCGATAATCCCAGAACACCAACTTTCATTTTGAAGATGTCAAAGGTCAGGATTGAAGGTTATCTCGTCCTTTCCCGCGAGAACGTACGAGCATTCTGAAATTTGATACAAGGGTAGTGTCGAAATTTCCCTGTTTATCGGTCTCATGAAAACGGAAATTTAAAAAAATGACACTTACGAGTTGTTTTCAGTCAGAAATCTGTGGAAAAACAACTTTCTGGCTTTTCTGTTACGCTTCCGACTCGCAAGAACTGCAATAATTACAACGTAAGGTAGGCGTCGCTGTGATACCGTCAAGTTGCTCATTTGGACCATTACTAAGGCCATGTTGATTTGATTATATGGATGACATCCTCCGGGAACCCCAAAACTGATGCGCGCGTGCGAATAAAAAAAAAAGTTTTGCACAAAAAAAAAAATAAACCTTTTGCAAAAGACTAGAAAGGCCAATATTTGCTTTGGAGCAAATACAGCGATGGGTTCACCACATTTTACGACATGGCAGGGAAAGAATGGGAAACACAAGGGAAAACAATGATTTACATTGATATAACTATAATATGAAGTAAAATACAACTAAAACAACAGTTGGATAGCTATTCCCTACTTTATTGGTTAGG